GTCTGGATAACTTACACAGAAAAGGGATTTTAGGGAACTTAAGAAATAGGAGGTATCATGAGACAGTTTAATCAGCCACCTATGAAAACATCACCAGGGCCCTAAAAACAAATCTGGTCGAGCCTCTCATCTGTCCACTCCCTTTCCAGAAAACATACTACACCAGAATGACAGACATAACGGATGCTTTATATTGGCCCAGGCACATGTTTTCTTTCAGATCAGGGAGATGTGACTAGGAAGATTATTTTAGTAGTTTCAGCCAGGTCAGAAACTCTGACTTGTGAGTCACCTTCTTGCCATAAAGTTGGGCTCCCAAGTCTGTGTGTTTCAAAGTACTTCAGTGAATCGTGAGTGCCTCCACCTTCGCACGTGCTTGACAAACGAGGTTTCAGCCTTTGCTTGAATACATCCAGTACCTGGGCGAAAGGGCTTTTTAAAACGACAACAACAACAACAACTTTATTTTAGAATAATTTTAGATTTAAATTACACAGTTCCTTTACGCCCCTAAGCCAGTCTCCTCTAATAATAGCATCTTATGTAACCTTGGTACACTTACCACCATGAAGGAAAGGACATGGATACATTGCTATCAGCCAAACTATAGACTTTGTTCAGATTTTACCAGTTTCCCCACTAAATATCCTTTTTCTGACCCAACATCCCATCTAGGATACCCCATGCATTTGGCTGGGCATCTTATTTTTTTCCTTTTCTTTTCTTTTCTCTTCTCTCTTTTTTAAACATAACAAACATTTCTGATCTTACACAGTTTCTGGGAATATCACAGCCTGGTTGTTCTGGTTTGGGTTCCAGTCTGTGAGGTTCGCCATCAAGCTCAGCCGGGGCTGCAGTCATCTGAAGGCTTGACTGGGGTGGGAGAATCAGTGTGCTGGCCCACTCACGTGGCTGCTGGCTGGAGACTCCAGTTCCTCACCACATAACCCTTTGCATAGGGCTGCTCATGGCGTGGCTTCCCCCAGAGTGAGGGATGCAAGACAGAAAGAGCAGCTGAGATGGAAGCCACAGTGAGCGGTGCTTTTTTTAAAATTAATTAATTAATTAATTTATTTATTTATTTTTGTGAGGCAGCTCATTCCATTGCTGAACAGCTCCATTTGCTGAGAAAACAGTCTTCCTATAATTTCCTTGGCCAGTGGAGGGCTGGCCAGGAAGTCTCTCCATCCACCATGTTTAGTCCTCTAAAAAAAAAAAAAAAATAGAACTAGTGTCCCCTGAGTCTTCCCTGCATGCTAAAGACACGTTCGTACATCCATTCAGACAACTGTTCACCATCAAATGCTGCTCCACACCTGATCTAAATGAGGACAAAATGCTTCATGCAGAGAAGTAGAAGGCTGTTTATTCAAAGAACCTGCTCTATTCCCCTACCTGTAGACAGGAATCTGGTAGAAAGATAGCCAAAGACAGACTCACATTGCTTCCTAAATTGAAAGAAATTGTTATTCAACTGGATACGTAAAAGCTCAACAATTTGTAAACATTTTTATATTGTTCTACCTAAAATAGAAACTGAGATTGGGTATGGATCGAGCATTGTGAGAAGTGGGAAAATGTGACTCTTCGGGAGTTGGGCGTCACATGGTTTGAGCCCATAGCTGTCCTCTAGGTGGAGTTATGCACAGACCAGGGCTTCTCAACCAGAGTGATTTTGTCCCCGTGGGACATTTGGTGATGTCCAGAGACATTATTGGTTGTCACAACAGGGACTGGGTGGGCTCTCTGGCATCTAGGAAATTGAGGGATGCTGCTAGATACCGTACCGTGCACAGGACAGTTCCTCACAGCAAAGAGTTATCCAGCCCCCAATGTCGCTAGACCCAAGTCTAGAGGTTGGATGCAGTCTCTAAAGGGCCACTTCCCATTCCGCCACCAAGTGTCTCTTTTATAGCATTTGCCCCTCGCTTTTTAACTGAGCTCCCCTCACTGCCTATGAATTCCTTCAGTTTGCGTTCTCTGAGAGTCTTTGTTTCTGGTCCAAGTCAATAGTGGGGCAGCTGTGGTTGAGAAAAGTAAGGGAGGCGGTGTCAAAGGGCATTCCTTCAAACTTCTCTCAGCAGGAATTTTCTGAAGATTGGAAACAAGCTAGAACCTTCCTCTGAGGCTAGGATGGAGGTGCAAACTCCAGGACTTGCCAGGTGTGCAGTGGACCGGGGTTAGGTATCCATGCTGGCCTGGGGTGAGTGTGAGGACTGTCTCATTAAGTGAAAAAGACAATGTTTGTATTTGTTGTAAATAGCTAAGCATTTTTTAAATTGTAGGTCACTATTCACAAAGATCACAAAGATATTGTCTCGAATCTTGGAGTTTGAAGTACATATTATCCTTGTGGGACTATGTGAACTCTCATTGGTGGGAATACAAATGAGTGAAACTACTTGGAAACTGTTCGATGTTACCTGGTAGAGCCTGAGGTTCTGTACATGCCGGCCTGACAACGCAGCTTGTACGTATCTACCCTAGAACAGTGGTTCTTAGATTTCGGTGGGAACCAGAGTCCCCTGGAGGATTGGTGAAAGCACACGTTGCTGGGCCCCACCCCAGAGTTCCTGAGTCAGTAGTTTTGGGGAGGGACCGTAGAATTTGCAGCTCTAACGAGTTCCCAGGCAGTACCAATGTCGGTGGTCGCAGAGCCACATTCCAAGAACCATTATCTGAGAGAGGGTCTTGGACATGTACATAGCAAGACATGAGCAACATTTTTCAAGAACATTGGTCCTGATAGTCTCAAGCTAGAAACAACTCAAATTCCAATGAACCATGGTATATTCGTACCAGAAAGCAAATTATAGTCATCAGAACGAGTGACCTACAGCTACCTGCCTCAACAAGATGAATTTCCGAAGTGTTGATGAATGGCGTAAATGAGGCAGGCGAGAATACCTACAGTGTGATTCCATCTGTGGGAAAAACAAACTGTATTCTTTACAAACGTAGACAGTAAAACTACAAAGAAAAGCAGATGGTTGATTATTGCAAAACTCAGACCAGTGATTACCTGGGGGGAGAGGGAGGAAGACACACAGGGGGCTTGGGCACGAGCAGTAGTCTACCTCTGAACTTGGCTGTTGGTGATGTGGGAGTTGGCCTCCTATTATTTCTTTGAACTGTACATTTGTAGTTATACACATCTTTATATATGCTACATCTTCCACTTAAAAAGAAGTTAAAAAAAAATCCTTCTGTCTTTAAATAAAATGTCCCCTATCCTATCTGTGACCAGTTCTTTGGCAACTTGCTTGAATTTTAGGATCTGTCCACTGGTTATGAAAACTTAAAACTTAAGTCTCTTAAGCTTTACTATATAGTTTAGTTATTCTTCTGGGTCAACGGTTAAAATGAAGGAATGATAGAATGTTGTGAAAGAAATATACCCTTGTTACAGTCAAATACATTTGGTGGTGTGAAGTGACGAACAAAGTGTTACAAAATAAAAGGCCTGTCTGTTTGGAGAATGGATTTGAGTCTTGTGTTGTTAGTATGTTTATTGTCGTACATTTTATAGTAAGTTATGGTAGGCCATATAATTACTCATCTTCTAGACACTGGAGATAAGAACATACCCCTAATGACAGAGATGGCTGGCTCTTCACCGCATTACAAGTGATTTACTTAATGTCCCCCTACACATATCTCACAACTGCAAGGATGCAGACTCTTATGCACTATGTCCATTTTGTGGGAGGAGAATCATTCTTGCAATATTTCTTTGCTTTTTCGAAGAGGGGGGGATTGAATGCATCTGTTGATTATACTGTGATGTCTTTTGCCTCCAAAAATCCAGACAGAAGGAGTTGGGAACATCTGCAGCCCTGGACGGATCCCAGGAGAATGCTCATTTCTGGTTAAGAATGTGCATGCTGTCTTTTCCTGATATCAGAGTCTGGCTTTTAAATTTTACTGGGCTGAGTCTCTTTCTGGACTACACTTTTGAGTGTATCCTGTAAAAAACAAACAATTCTTAATCCTCCTTTTAAACCTAAGTTTCCTTGCGGCACGGGCTGCATTTGCCCTACTTGATCACCGTGCGGATTCCCGATTCGCGCCTCCCACACGTTAAGTTGATGGTTGCGTAATCGTGAAATGCATTCTTGCCATGATGACTGGCAACTTTTTCTGATGACATCCCAGGAATTTGATTGCAGCTACCTACTGATATGAGTGGAATCTTTATTATTTGGAGAGTTAGCCAGACGTGCTAAGTACGTTTGTTGCAAACACAAGATGCCGAAAGGGTATATGCCTTATTTATGATAGTGAAAACTTAGAAATGACCCAAATGCCCATTGGTGGAGGAATGGTTAATGAAATTATGGTACAGCCACACTGTGCAATACTATGAGACCTCCTGAGAAAGTAGATCTGAATTTATGCACATGTGTCAGGGGCCCCATGAGGCACTTGGTGTGCACCATCTCATTAAATCTCCCAACAACCCCATGAGATTCCCATTTTATAGATGCGGACACTGAGACTTGTCCCAAGTCACACAGTTAGTAAGTGGTGCAGCAATAATTAGATCTGACTTCTCTAGACCCCCAAATTCATTTCCTTATCCAGTTACACTCTACCAGCTTATAAACGTCAAAACCATATGTACTGTTGACTCTCCTCTCATGGAGATTTGATTCAATATGACATTGGTTTGCATAAACATGACAAATAGGAAGAGACTCATGTAATAGCAACAGCAAACATATCTAAGTGTCAACGCTAAATTAATTCTGAAGGAGGTAAGTTTCCTGTACTTTTCATGATTGAAACAAAATTTGAGAGCATACATCAAGGTTCTCGTTGCATGTACTGTCCAGGTCAGGGATTTCCGTGTATTTTCAGAGCCTTTGTTCTGCCTAAAATGCCAAATTATGAGTGAAGTAAGTGAGAAGTCATGCTTTTGCTCAAATGTAGCTGTTGATGGTATAAGATATCACGTGTATGCTTGTGTTTACAACTTTTCGTTCTTTTAATATTTGCAGATGGACAGAAGAGAAAGAAATCTTTGCGAAAGAAACTGGATTCACTAGGAAAGGAGAAAAACAAAGACAGAGGTAAGGGACAGAATGAACTAGAGCGGATGCATCTTCCATGGAGCATAATGGTTGAATTTGGTGGGGTTTTTGAATTGCATAGATTTATGCGGTTCATCTCTATTATGCAAACTGGATTTCTACGATGGAATGTCATTAAAGCCTGTTTTGGTCTACTCTTTTGTGTTTGAGTGGCCCTGTACTGAATTGATGAATTCAACTGTTTTGAGCAAAGTGTGACTTTGGCCAAGTTTATGGTTCCAATTATGATGCTGGCCAATTGGCCAATCAGCAACGCATAAGAAGAACCTGGGTTGAGTAGCCATGGACAGCATCTCTAACGCTAACCAGCTGTCTGGCAAGGCCAGATCGTTAGGCAGGGCTAGTTGAATGAGAAAAAGTTTGGATTCGCCTGCCATGACTACTGGAAAGAAACAGTCTCATCCTCATGGGCTACTGGAGATGGGCCATTCTCAGCATTTTTATGTCAGATCACAGCATGCTTATTTTTTGCCCTATATGTTTTGGGAATTGTTGACTCTCTCCATACTGTTTTGTGTCCTCTTCTATGTCTATTTAGGGAACTGACACATTAGCCACTCTTTCAGAGGTATTTGTGGTCATTTTTAACTAATATTCATTGAGCCTGCAAATGGGCACCTGGGCCCCATTAGCGCAGTACAACTCTCTGTGGCTTGTTTGTATGGTCCCATATGAAATGACTGCTGAATGGTGTGGTTGTATGAATGTATTTCCATTTTATGTGACATAATGAATGAGTGTTGAGTGAGGAGAGCCATATGTCTCACCTTGGAGTTCTTTTCTATAATGATTGAATTTCTGCTTGAAAAATAATGGAAGGCAATAAAACCAAAGGTATAAAAATAAATGCACTGTGGTCAGTAGTGGACAAGACCTAGTCCACACCATTGATCCCAGACTCTACACCCATGTCATGAACTTGACTAAAGTGTCATGACATTTGGTTCTTTGGACTGAAAGGAGATAATTCTATTTTTTAAAATATTTTATTTATTTATTTGACAGAGAGATACACAGCGACAGCGGGGACACAAGCAGGGGGAGTGGGAGAGGGAGAAGCAGGCTTCCCGCCGAGCAGGGAGCCCGATGCGGGGCT